CTCTTTCTCATGTACCCCTGTCTTAACTGCTCATCCTCCAGGACATCCTATGACTATCAAATTATCCACTGGCCAAAGCATACAAGCCCCGGAAACCCCCTCTGTTCAGCAGCTTAAAGAAGCAGTGTAATAATGAAAGAGTTCAATAATACGCTCAGCATGAAGACCGATCACTCAATGTGTGTCCCACAGAGGTGGAATTGTACTGCCACCATTTGGCTTTGTTATGCTATGCAACATTTACCCATCACTGATTGTGAACTATGCACTTCATGTCTGGAAACACTTCTGTATTGTAGCCATGTCCTACATGAATTTTATATAAGCCCAATGCAGTATATTTTTTCTCATTGTATTTTTTGTAGACAATTTATAAATGTTGCTTAAAATGTAACTAAAGGCAGTTCTTTTTTTTTTTAGTTTTGGATAAAGTGGAGAGAAAATTAGAATCAGTTTTTATTGCTGTCTGTGCCACTGTTAGGGATATTCAACCCTCTATTTATCCTGTTTACCATTATCATCGAAAGTGAAAAAAAGGGACACATTTTCGGTTCACATGAAAACTCTTTCCAATGGGGACACCCTCACTTTGGAGGGATTTCCTCCAACTTCCTGTTATGGCTATGGGGTAGGAAGCGAAGAATAATCTCACCAATAGGACACAGATGGCAAAAGAAAACAGACTGGGGTTATAACCCTACCTATTCAAAATTAAAAAAAGAAAAAAGTTTTGCCTTAAATTATTATTATTATTACACAGGATTTATATAGCACCAACAGTTTGCTCAGCACTTTACAATATAACGGGAGACAATACAGTTCAATATAAGAGGGTTAGGAAGGCCCTGCTCCTTGGAGCTTACAATCTAGGAGGGAGGGGCTAGTGGTACAAAAGATAGTAACTGTGGGGGATGGACTGGTAGGAGGAGTAGAAGATTCCATTAGATGAGGGCAGTATAGGCTTCCCTGAAGAGATCGGTTTTTAGCGATCGCCTAATAGTGAGCAGAGTAGGCAATAGTCTGATAAATTGGGGTAGAGAGTTCCAGAGGATGGGGAAAGCTCTGGAGAAGTCCTGGAGATGAGCATGGGAGGAGGAGATAAGGAAGCTAGAGAGTAGGAGGTCCCTTATCTCGTGCGGTACGGTTTGGGTGGTATTTGGAGACCAGATCGGTGATGTAATTTGGAGCAGAGTTATAAATGGCTTTATATGCTATTATTGTAATTACACTTTAAATTTAAACATATCAAACATAAATAAATCAGAACAGAAATTCCTTAATGCATATTTTTAAAGGGGAACCTAATATAATGCTTTCTGAGTTAAAAATGTTAAAACATTGTTTTACATTCTTTAAAATATATATATATATTTTATCTTACCAAAATTTAGTTGTTTTCAGGCATTTTTTTTATCTTTTCCCCTTTTTTTCAAGGTTTTTTTTTCATTAGTGATCCTGCCAATAAAAAACTTCCTGTCCCTAAAATGAAGTTTGGACGGACATGGTTCTCACTTGCAAATGCTTCTACCACTGAGCTGAATTCCCCATTTCACATTAAGGTTTGCCATACATTATATGATTTTCTTGTACAGTTTTCCTTTAGATTTTCCAAAACCATATAATATGAGGTCAAACCTAAACAGTTTTCATTTGTATGCAATCAGTCAGGCTGCTGCATTACATAATCGAATGTAAATCTAAAGGAAATTGAATAGAAAAATTGAATAATGTATGACCAACTTAAAGTGGAGTTCCAGTCTTTTTTTAAACTTTCAATATTTCCAATGCCCCTCCAATGTACAGTGCGAAATGGAAATTATTTTTTTGTTTGTTTCTAAATACCTTTATTATAATTCTTCAGGTGGCACTTCCTTTCCTGGCCACCTAGGCAATGACGTCATTAGGCGATTCCCATTGACTCCTGGGATATCGGCGTCATCTATCCCAGGAGTCTTTGGGAAGCTTAATAATGTAATGTGATTGACAAGTTGCCATAGCAACAGGGTGGGTACTTCTGCTGTCATCGCCATTGCTATGGCAACCTGCACTAAACAAAATGCGACGCACAGTGTCATTACTGCGCAGGCTCGAGATCGGGAGGTGCATGCTGGGTAGCCAGCTGCACCGAATCCCGGAAAAAGACACAAGTGGGCTTCAGATGCCCACATCCTAAATGGCCACCTGCCTGCATCTGAGATCAGGTACATTTTTAAGCTAACCAGCACGAATCTAACAGTATTCTAATTTAAATGTACAAGTAATAACAATCTCAAGGGAATTAAAAAAAAAATTGATTATGGGGACTGGAGCTCCGCTTTAAGGATTAAATGTTAGGAATAAACTAAATGTTATGGGTTAAGGTTGTTAGATAAGGTGATAAGAAGATTTGAAGACTGTTCTAAATGCAGCCCATTGTTTTAAATGTGCCTGTACACACAGGCACGTAAACAAGCACTGTGTAGAAATGAGTAAAAAAAATATAGAAATCTGAGTTGCCAGTCAGTATTTTACATGTGTATGCGCACAAATACTGTCCATGCAGATACATGCGTACATGCATAAAATGTTCATTTGAAGAGATTAAAATTGCATTCTGGGAGCTAGAATTTATTTTACCTGTGTACGTGCCTATGTGCAAATATTAACTAATACTTTCAAATACAAGCAAAATAAATGCAAAAAACTTTGGCTAGAAATACTGAAGCTCAAAAATCAGTACTATGCAGGGGTGGACTGACAACTCATGGGGCCCCTGGGCAATAGGGGATCATGGGGCCCCTGTGTCCTTGTCCACACTCAAAGCACACCCAAGAAAGCCTATAAAAGGTACCAGGGGCATTTAATGGGGCCCCCTACTGACCCTGGGCCCTCGGGCAGTGCCCGAGTGCTCGAATGGTCAGTCCGCCCCTGGAACTATGTGAAAGTATTTTAAAACTATGTTAAGGGATATATCTCACTGTTATAGGAAGGGATTTTTAGGTGATAGATTAAGTGTTAAAGTTAGAGGGAGGGCTAGAATTAAATGTGAAATTGAGGCTAGATAGATGGACATATGTAATTACAGTGAAATTCACATACAAGGTCTGTGCCTAAAGCACTGCACCCAAATGTCTGGTCCTGGGTATGATACACTGACAACTAGCAGATAGTTTTATTCCTTTACATATGACAAAAAAATTCCCCCCAACAAATGCACCCTATGAATCAATGGTAGATTAGGTCTAGAAAAAATCCCATATAACATTTACCAGTATGAATCAACCTCACTAAATCCAGTGAATAACCACTACAGCTCCAGAAGGTTTTACTACCTTCACGAACAGGCCATTTTTTGCTATTTAGCACTACACTACTTTAACAGGTAATTGCATGGTCATGCAATACTGTACCCAAACAAAATTTATTTAACTTTTTTCACACAAATAGAGCTTTATTTTGGTAGTATTTGATCACCCCTGTATTTTTTATTATATAAACCAAAAAAGACCGAAAATAAAAAACAAAACAAAACAATATTTTTTTTACTTTCTGCTATAAAACAAATCCAATAAGAAAATTTAAAAAAAATAAAATTTCTTCATAAATTTAGGCCAAAATGTATTCTGCTACATGTCTTTGGTAAAAAAAAAAACAAACCAATAAGTGTATATTGATTGGTTTGCATGAAAGTTGTAGCATCTACAAACTATGGTATATATGCTGGATTTTTTTTTATATATACTATAATATGATCAGCGACTTATAGTGGGACTGTGATAGTGTGGCAAGCAATATGACACTAACTGACACTGTGGGAACTGAACTCACCAGTGACATTAATACAGTGATCATTGATAATACTATACACTATTACTGTACTAATGACGCTGGCTCAGAAGGGGTTAACATCTCGGGTAATCAAGGGTTAAATGTATGCCTAACAAGTGTTAACCACTTGCCCTCCAGATGATTTACCCCCCTTCCTGACGAGGCCATTTTTTGCAATACAGTGCTTCATTACTTTAACTAACACTGAGCAGTCATGAAACGCTGTACATAAATAAAATTTAAGTCATTTTTCCCTCCAAAAATAGAGCTTTCTTTCAGTGGTATTTGATCACCTCTGCAGTTTTTATTTTTTGCTCTATAAAGAAAAAAAGATCAACAATTTTGAAAAAAAAAAAACAATATTTTTGACTTTTTGATATAAAACATCTAATAAAAAAAAAATTAAAAAATCAAATGTTTTCATAAATTTAGGACAAACTGTATTCTGCCAAAATTAAAAAAGAAAAAAGCGACACTTACAAAAAACACCAAAATGTCAGCAGCATATCCCACCCAAAATACATTTTGGCAACGATAATCCTAATTAAAAGGTTTGCGCTAATAACAAACTTATACAAAGGTGTATATCATCATCCAAAAAACATTAGTGTTTTAAATAAATAATTATAGTGTCCAAACATAAATTAGTGTCCAAAAAATATATATATATCTTCAGTGACTTGAACCAATTGTGAAAAATCCACCACCAAAGGAGATTAAATGAACTCACCAGAGCTAATGGCTCTGACCAGCCATTAGCTCTGGTGAGTTCATTTAATCTCCTTTGGTGGTGGATTTTTCACAATTGGTTCAAGTCACTGAAGATATATATATATTTTTTGGACACTAATTTATGTTTGGACACTATTATTATTTATTTAAAACACTAATGTTTTTTGGATGATGATATACACCTTTGTATAAGTTTGTTATTAGCGCATACCTTTTAACTAGTTGCCGACCGCAGATAGCCGAATGACGGCTTCACTGCGGCCGGCCAGTTCTGGGTGGACGTCATATGACGTCCCCCCAGAACGCGCTCTCCTGCGTGCCCCAGGGGGCGCGCACCCGGCGATCTCCGTGATCGCTGTGTCCTACGGACACAGCTTATCACGAGATGTGGTAAAAGGCCGATCATACCGGCCTTTTACCACGTGATCAGCGGTGTCCAATGACACGCTGATCACATGGAAATGCAAGTGCCGGTTCTCGGCTGCACTTTCCTCACGCTGTCAGATCGGGAGGAAAGTACTGCCGAGAACCGGCAGTTGTCAGAGCGAGGATCGGCACCGATCGTCAGGGCCACTGATGATCAGTGCCCTGATGATCGGTGCCCAGCAGTGCCACCCACAAGTTCCGCCCACCTGTGCCCAGCAGTGCGCCCACTAGCTCCGCCCACCTGTGCCCAGCAGTGCACCCACCTGTGCCCAGCAGTGCACCCACCTGTGCCCAGCAGTGCACCCACCTGTGCCACTCTGCAGTGTCACCCACCTGTGCCCAAAAGTGCCACCTACATGTGCCCAGCAGTGCCACCCACCTGTGCCCACCCACCTGTGCCCACCAGTGCCACCCACCTGTGCCCACCAGTGCCACCCACCTGTGCCCACCCACCAGTGCTGCCCACCAGTGCCACCCACCAGTGCAGCCCAGCAGTGCTGCCAGTCAGTGCCACCAGTCAGTGCCCAGCGGTTGTGCCAGTCAGTGCCGCCAGTCAGTGCCCAGCAGTGATGCCAGTCAGTGCCATCTATCAGTACCCATCATCAGTGTCACCTATCAGTGCCGCCTATCAGTGCTGCATATTAGTGCAGCCTATCCGTGACACCTCATTAGTGCTGCCTATCAGTGCCGCCTATCCGTGCCACCTCATTAGTACTGCCTATCAGTGCCCTTTAGTGCTGCCTATCAGTTCCCATCAGTGCCGCCTATCAGTGCCCATCAGTGCTGCCTCATCAACGCACCTCAGTGAAGGAGAAAAAATACCTGTTTGAAAAATTTTATAATAGAAACAAAGAAACTTTTTTTTTTTTCAAATTTTTTGCACTTTTTTAATTTATAGCGCAAAAAGTAAAGTGCCCAGTGGCGATTAAATACCACCAAAAGAGAGCTCTATTTGTGAGAAAAAAATTATCAAAATTTCATATGGGTACAATGTTGCATGACCGCGCAATTGTCAATCAAAGTGCGGCAGCGCTGAAAGCTGAAAATTGGCCTGGTAAGGAAGGGGGTATAAGTGCCTGGTAGGCAAGTGATTAATTAGGAAAACTGTATTCTGCTACATGTTTTTGCTAAAAAAAAATCCCAATAAGTGTATGTTAATTGGTTTACGTGAAAGTTATCTACAAATGGCTGTATATATACTGGAATTTATTTTTTAATACTAGTAATGGCGCCTATCAGCGACTTATAGCGGGACTGCAGTGGGCATTCTGACACTGAGTGGGAACTGACTAACAGCCACTGACATCCACAGTGACACTAATACAGCGATCCGTTCTAATAAAAACACTGACACTACCAATGACACTTGGCAGGTAGAGTTAACATCTGGGGCAATCAAAGAGTTAACTGTGTGCTGTGTGTGTTTTACATTGTGTGCTGTGTTGTGTTTTACTAGGGAGACATGCTGTTATGTATCTATCTGATGAGTAAAGAGATACAAAGCAGCATGTTCATGCTGACAGGAGAGATCTGTGTTGTTTACACACAGATCTCTCCCCTCTCAGCCCTACCGACAATCACCGAGCCTCAGCCAGGAATCGCAGACCGAGACCACGGTGATTGACACCCCCAGCAGCCAATAGCAGCACGGGTAGGGGGATCGCTCATGCCCCCATATATATATATATATATATTGTGACAGTATGAACGGCGAGGTGATAGAGGGACGCTATGTGTCACCTCGCATACACTCATACCTGGCAGTTTAGGTGGAGTCCACTCCGGGTTTTCGGGGCCACAGTTGAGGAGGTGGGTCCGGACCAGAGTTTGGGCTCCACTGATGACCACCAACAGGTGATACAAAAAGGGCATCCTCCACCATATGTGGGGTTAGCTCAGGTGGGGGATCCCCTTCCCTGGGAAAAAGGTAGACCGCACAGCAGGCTTTTGTCAAAATCTGACTGGTTGTCAGTTTTATTTAAAAGGTTTGCAAAAATATCAAAATAAACAAAACATCCAAATAAACCCTTGCCATCCAGGCACTAACTAAACAGAAGACGTTTCCTCTCTCAGAGGTGAAGGGCTTCTCCCTGTCACCAAAAACAAAACAAAAGCAAACCTTTTCTTGTAGGTATAGTACACACACCGCTCTCTCAGAACACCTCTCTGAGTCCCAGGCCACGAGCAACTCCTTGCTCCAGCCCTGCCCTTTTTGTATCACCTGTTGGTGGTCATCAGTGGAGCCCAAACTCCGGACCCACCTCCTCAACTGTAGCCCCGAAAACCCGGAGTGGACTCCACCTAAACTGCCAGGTATGAGCGTATGCGAGGTGACACATAGCGTCCCTCTATCACCTCGCCGTTCATACTGTCACAATATATATATATATATATATATATATATATATATATATATATATACACTTGATTTTGGGCAGCCCTGTAGCAGTACTTCTGCTATAGGGGGGAGGGCAACTGCTTGCCCATATGGAAGAAAAATATATTTGAAGAATATTTTAAAAATATTCTTCCCAAATATATTAACATATACTTGAAATGCTGCAATTTTGGCCATATTCAATATATTTTAAAATATATTTCAATATATATATATATATATATATATATATATATATATATATATATATATATATATATATATACTGCATGTTGAAATGCGTTTTTTTATAAAGTATATGAAAAATATTTTTAAAAATACATTTCAAATATACTGTATGTCTTTAAAAATACAAATCTACATTTTTTAAAAAATATATTCTTCAGATTTTTTTTTAACATATAAAAAAGTCATTTTAACATATATTTTTATATATATATGTAAATGCATTCCAAAAATGTAGATTTGTATTTTTAAAGACAAAGTATATTTGAAATGTATTTTTAAAAATATTTTTCATATATTTTTTAATGAAAACGCATTTCTACATGCAATATATATATATATATATATATATATATATATAATTTTTTTTATTATTATTTTTAATTATAATTTGAAATATATCGAATATGGCCAAAATGGTAGCATTTCAAATATATGTCAATATATTTGGGAAGGAAATTTTTAAAATATATTATATTACAAATATATTTTTCTTCCATGTGGGTAATTTATGTAATGTGTGCTGCTTTTCACTACATAACTCTCTATTTCTTCTCCCTGAATTAGAAACAGAGAGATTGTTCTCTATGTACAGAGCCCTATGTTAATTGTCAACACAGGGCTCTAGGCTGTGATTGGACGAAGCCAATCAGCGGATTCTGGCCATGAATCAATCACAGTACAATCACAGAGGGAGCTGGCAGGCGGGAGGTGTGCGTGCGTGCCTTGTACCCGGAGGAGACCAGCAATCTACAGCTACATTGCTGTGCCTAAATGGACAACCTGTCCATAGTACACTGTGGGCTGTGGTCCACAAATGATTAATTATATTATACAATAGTGTACACAAATATCTACATCACTAAAATCTTATACTAGCATTAACCTTTAAATGTGATTTCAAACGTTGTTTACAATCTTTTTAAATATGCAGCTTTTACAAAAAAATTACCCAGTGACCCTGAAAGGAAGGTTGAAGGAGATCAGCAACAATGAGATGCAAAACAGGATGAAAAAACATAAAAACAGTATTTTAAGAAAAAAAAACAAAAGCAATTGTTTTCATACATAGTGCTTTTGCAAATTAAATGGCATTCAATTAAGGTTTACTTCTGCTTAAGTATATGTAAAACCTAAAAGGTTTTTTTTTTTCATGTTTTTGATGAGGGGTTAGAACCAGGGGCGGACTGACCATTTGGAAATTCGGGCACAGCCCGAGGGCCCGGGGTCAGTAGGGGGCCCCATGAGATGCCCCTGGTACCTTTTTAATAGGCTTTTTTGGGTTTGGGCAAGGACACAGGGGCCCCATGATCCCCTATATCCCGGAGGCCCCATGAGTTGTCAGTCCGCCCCTGGTTAGAACTGCTGTGTATATCTCTATTGGTGAGATTTAGTTTCTCTAATTGTTTTGACCATCAATGTCTCTGGGACTGAAACTGAAGCAAAATCCAAAATTATGAATCATCACCAGAATAACAATGTAGGGAATATCTTCCAATGAGGACAACTTTTCTGCGCAAGAAAGGACACTCTTAAGAGTTTTATATTGCATTTACAGAATAGGAAATGAAGTGACACTGCATCTCCTAATGGGACACCACTGGCATAAAAAGTGCCAGGATTTTCACCTTTCCTATGCTATCCAAGATTTAAAAAATAAACGTTTTACATTTAGATATACTTGAAACCACTAGAAGACTGGATAAGACAAGTTACAGCATGCAGTAATTGTTGCCACTTCATAAAAAGGAACTGGCAGCCTGTAGGATCTCACTGCAACCCAAATATATTGCCAGGTCAAAGTCCAAGGTAAGTTTATTATTGTTACCCAATACTGGGAAATCCACCTGCTCCTTCATTATGCAATTCATTTGATTAGAAACTTAGTCATAGTGTAAACCTATGACTAAGCTCCTATTGAAGTGAAACGCGAAAGTAAGAAGCAGGTGGATTTCTCTCTATCGGGTAACAATATTAAACTCATCTTGGACTTTTAGATAAGTGGCTCCATTACTGTTTTTCTTGCTACAAATTCCAGTGGGTCATGGACTGTCCGGAGCTTGCACGCTTCAGTTGGTGGAGCAGAGGTGAGAGACTTAAAGCAGAGTACTTATTTGCAGTACAAATTATATAGCGCGTATGGTAATTCCCAGATTGCTATTTCAAACCTGATACATATGGTATTCTTTTGATTCCTGTTATTTGCTGGTTGCCGTAATCTGAGCTGATTTAAACAGCAAAGAAAATGTGGGCAGACCATTATCTGCCAGGTGAAATAGGTCATGTTGGCAGGTGTGCATTACTCTGAAGAAATGCCCTATATTACAGATGTTTAATTGCAGTATTCATGAGCAATTTTAATTTTAGGGTTTACTGAACATCCCAAACCATATTGTAAGTTGTTTTATCCCCTGGCAGGAGTTCATAATGACTTCTTCTGTTACAACCTAAGTTTCATTAAATCCTCCTCGCTGCAATAGCATGCAACAATCCATTGAGAACAGACTGTGGGATGAGCTTGGAAATTTCACAAATACTGACAGCTGGTCCTGAATCACAGAAGCCCACATCTCTGTAATAATTCTTCTGGTGTATTAAAATATTTCATGAATGATCAACAAGTCATCACCTCAAATATATTTAATATTCCTCATTCTCTTCCTTTCAACTCATCTATCTTCTTGTCGTTGGTGTCACCATAATGTACATGATCAAACTGGAAGAGCACAGGAGTAGTCTAAAAGTTGGTAAATCATTTTAACTGCAATATATAATCTCCTTGAAGGGCAACAAAGGACAGTATGAGTGAGCTCCTGCAAATTGG